TCGGCTATCTCGGGCCAAGCGGATTGGGAGACTTGGCATCGGCGACTCGCACACGTGACTATATCTACATTGGAGGTGATGCACAAGGAGAAGTGCGTCCATGGGCTGCAACTGCAAGGAGATGGCGCTCACTATGGCAGCTGCAAGGCGTGCATGCAAAACAAGTTTGCCCGGTTCCCGTTTCCACGTGCGGAGGGATCAGCCAAGGCACCATTGGAGGTGGTGCACATGGACCTGGTGGGTCCTACGAGGACAGAGGGGACTGGGGGAGTGCTGTACTTCCTCACCATGGTGGATGAATGGAGCACATTCACATGGGCTCGTCCCTTGTCCAAGAAGAGCGATGCTGCAGCGGCGATCAAGGAGGATTGGTTGCCGATGGTGGAGCGGCAAGCGATGCGGTTGGTGAAGGTGCTGAGGAGCGACCGTGGTGGAGAGTTCCTTCGAGCGGAATTCACCAAGTTTCTCAAGAGGAACGACATTCGACACCAGCTGACCTGCCCAGGAACACCGCAGCAGAACGGCATTGCTGAGCGTGCCAACCGGACCATTGGCGAGGCGGCTAAGACCTTGTTGGGGGCTGCTGGGATGCCCTACAAGTTCTGGCCTGAAGCTGTTCGCCATGTCATCACGGTCAAGAAAAGGGTCTTGACGCATGTTGGCGACAAGCACTGGGTGCCGTACGAGCGTTGGCTTGGGAAGAAGCCATCCATTGACATGCTACGGGTGTGGGGCTGCATGGGGCTTGTGATGGTGCCAAAGGAGCAGAGGCACAAGCTGGAAGCTGCTACTGTGTGGGCTGTCCATCTTGGGATGGCTCCTGACTCGAAGGGGTGGCTGATGTGGGACCCCAAGAGCAAGAAGACGCTGGTCAGCCGTGACGTCGAGTTTGTGGAGGACGTCATGTACAAGGACTGGCGGCAGTAGCAGCAGGTGCAGATTGGCTTGCGTCTGCAGGAGATTGAGCGGTCTGTAGTGGAGGAGGTTCAGCTGCACCTTGATGAACTCCTTGGGTCAGAGCTGACCAGTGACCACAGTTTCGGTGGTGAGCAGCAAGTTTCTGGTCCTGCTGCAGAGGAGGGGTTGGTGGACTCACCATCTCAGCCCGAGCCTGCGGCAACCGCCAAGGTCACCAAGAGGAGTGTGCAGAGAGGAGCTTCACCACACGGGCAGCAGACAGCAACCCGCGAGAAGAGAGTGGCAGCAGCACCTTCAAGGCTGAAGTATAGCCGTTTGGGAGGACCCAAGCAAGGTGCCATGGCGGTTCAAGCGGACGAGGGAGATGATGAGGAGATGGCCTTCTGTTTCTTCACACCTCTGCCTGGAGAACCAGCCACATTGGAGGAGGCACTGAGTGGACCCCAGAAAAAGGAGTGGAAGGCTGCCATGGATGTGGAGTTCAACAGTCTCATTGAGAATGGGACTTGGGAGCTGGTTGAGTTACCCGAGGGGCGACGGCCGATCAGCAACAAGTGGGTCTTCAAAGTGAAGAGCAGAGCTGATGGTGATTTGGAGTGGTTCAAGAGCTGCTTGGTCGCCAAGGGGTTTCAGCAGAAAGAGAAGGTCGACTTCGGGGAGATCTTCGCTCCCGTTGCTAAGCCAGTGACACTGAAGACTTTGCTGGCTGGCGCAGCTGTGAAGGGATGGAACGCGAAGCAGATGGATATCACCACTGCGTTCCTCAATAAAGTGCTGCTGGAGGATATCTACATGGCGCAGCCCGACGGCTATGAGGATGGGACCAGCCGGGTGTGCAAGCTCAAGAAGGCTATCTATGGCCTTAATCAAGCGCCCAGGTGCTGGTACGAGAAGCTCAAGGAGGTGCTGCTGGGTGGAGGCTTCAAGACATCCCAAGCGGATCATAGCTTGTTTCTGCTTGGAGAGGGGGAGCAGTTGCTCTTGCTGCTGGTGTATGTCGACGACATACTGCCGTTCTCACCTTCCATGGAGCAGATTGAGAGGACAAAGAAGCTGCTGATGGACAACTTCAAGTGTAAAATGCTGGGGGATGTCCACTACTACTTGGGGCTGCAGATTGAGAGGGATGTTGAGAGGAGGTGGCTGAAGATGCATCTGTCACACTACATCTCTGGTGTCATGGAGCGCTATGATGTAACTGGGGGTCGCACTGTGATGACACCGTTCCCTGCGGGCTTCAAACTGAAGAAGGCAGCTGAGGAGGATGATGTGCTTGAGGATGAGCAGCAGAATGAGTACCATTCGCTCATTGGGAGTGTGATGTATGCAGCTGTGCATACGCGACCTGATGCTTCATTCGGAATGGGGCAGCGGCCCACTGAGGAGCAGTTGGAGGTGGCAAAGCGCTTGGTGCGCTACCTCGGATCAACAGCATCAGCTGGTGTTCAGTTTTCAGCTGGCGGCCAGCTGAAACAGTTTGGAGCAGATGGGATCACGCCTGGAACCTTGAAGCTGTCGTGCTTCACCGACGCTACGTGGGCCTCAGAAGAGGAGGATCAATCATTAGTTGGCAACTTTGTGTGCCTGGTCGGAGGTGGACCAGTGAGCTGGAGGTCCAAGAAGCAGAGTGAGATTGCTCAGTCTTCTGGGGTGGCTAGAAGTTTCTAGCATGGGTTGCAAATATTGCAACACCTAGGCAAAATCCAATTGGATTGGATTTTGCATGTGACATCTCAAGGACCTCATCATGAGGGTTGCATTTTTATGCTAGGAAGGTTCCCACCATCCTTCCCAAGCATTTGGAGAGCCTTCCCTCACAAGGTTCTCTTGAAACCCCCCAACTCCTTATTCTATTCCTAATGTTTGTTCTTCCTCCATCCTATTCTATTGAAAGCAGCAGCTATACGTTTTGACTTCGTTCTCACTCCCTAGACCATGAAATCAAGTGATTCAACTTGCAAATGGTAGCTAAGACCAGCGCGCAAAATCCTACCGAGCGGATTTGCGTTTAGTTGAGATTTGAGTTCTTCGTAAGTCTTCAAAGTGACCGGATCCTATGCAACACTCTGAGGGCCGCTCAGCTTCCTGCATCGCCTCATCCTGCAGGATGTACGAGGTAAGAGAATCCTCGTTGAGTGTCGCCCTAGTACTCGGCGCCATGGACAGTCGTTTCAGCAGGTTGTAGTTGCTCGTAAGCCCTTTGATAACGTGTGTGAGGTACGACGCCGTTGAGTAGTGCACGCCGGCCATCCTCATTGTGGCAAGAATTCGTCGAGCCCGGTTGCAGTAGCCAGTCGTCGTCTCCTCTTCGCCCATACGTATGTGCGACAGCTGCTCCTCAAGCTGGCCGATGTACAGGTCGTCGGTGACCTGGTACGTCGACTCAATGAAGTGCCATGCCCGGTGGCCGGCGTCGAGGTACTCCCTGCACGACTTCAAGGCGATCTGCACGCCTGGCGAGCAGCACCGCGAGATGACCGTGAAGGTCAGCAACTGCACGGCGCGAAACTCCGCACGCAAGTTGGGGTAGTGTTCCTCCGGCGTCGCCACAGTGCCCCTGGCGAAACCGATCAGCCCGGCCATCTCCAGCTGGGGCTCGATGGCTTCCTTCCAGGTGAGGATATCAGGTCGACCAACAAGCAGGGGGGTGACCGAGATCTTGTCCGGCGTAAACTTGAAGTAGCCATAGCTCGGTGCAATCCCGCCCGCTGTCACGTGGGTCGCCGACATCGGCGACAAACTGCTTCGTCGACCTCCAACGTTGCCTTGTGAGGTGCCTGCAGCCGCCGACGACCGCATCCCTCGCCCCTGAACGCCGCCGACTTCATCGGCGTGTATCACACCTCGTTGCCTCGACGTGCCCCCCGCACTGCTGCCGACTTGGCCACTACCGGCGTTGACGCCCACGTCGACGCCGCCCTCGGTGTTCACCGGTCGAGGAGAGGCAGGTCGAGAAGGGTGCTCCGTCGCCCACACGGTGCGGAGTCCAGCCTCGACAACCGCCGAGGGGATCGCTCCGTACTCCTGGGCCTCATGGCGTCTCCTCGCATCCTCTAGCTGTGCTTCCAGGGTGTCCACCACCCCCGTGTCACCTACGGCGCCTACCATAGTGACTACCGCATAGCTGCCGGCCTACGAACACGAATTAGGTAAGTGACAACTACGTCGACATGACTGAAAGGTAAGTCGTGTGCCGTCCACGCTCACAGCACCATGCGGAGATAACTTAATCAACGGGAGCTGGACTACGGGCTAGGCACGGATGCTCGTGTGATCTCTGTGTTCGTTCGCTTAGTCGTTTACTTGTGCTTGCACTACTTGCTGGTTCACGGGGTGGGAGAGAGGGGGGGTGAGAAACAGGGAGCGTGCAGGGGATAAGGAGGTTGAGAGTGAGGCTGGGCCATGAGAAGTCAGGTCCCAGTTGGGGCAGGGCGACTGCCCTGGGCACTGTTCGAAGGAGAGAGTCGGGGGAAGAGAGGGGGGGTGAGAAGCAGGGAGGGTGCACGGGATGAGTGGGGAAGGTGAGAGTGAGGATGGGCGATGCAGGCAGGTCCCAGTTGGGGCAGGCTGACTGCCCTGGGCATTGGGAGAAAGTGGTAGAGGATGGGGGGGTGCGGGGGATTGAAGGGGTGAAAGGCAGGCAGAGCGATGCAGGCAGGTCCCAGCTGGGGCAGGCCGACTGCCCCGGGCTTGAAGGGGGGAGTGGAAGAGAGAAGGGGGGGTGAGAAACAGGGAGGGTAAAGGGGATGAGGAAGGTGAGAGTGAGGCTGGACAATGAGAAGCCAGGTTCTGTTGGGTAAGCCTGCTGCCCTTGCTACACTGAGGAGCAAAGAGCACATGAGTCGCCTCAAAACTCATCTCACAATGCAATCACACTCGTGGTTGCCTCCCTCGGGGGTTGCCTCCCTCGGGGGTTGCCTCCCTCGGGGGTTGCTTCCCTCACGATGCAGTCACACTCGCTAATCAAGCACCTCTTACGATGCACCCAACAAGTCAAGCACCACTCACCACGACACTCCTTGGCGCTGGCATCGTAGGCTTGGGACTCAGAGCACAGGCACTTGCGCTCGCCGTCCCTCAGAATGCACTTAGCCGCTGCCCCACAGTCGGCATCGCAGCCTTTGGAGAAGCATGGGGCGTTTGTGGAGGCAGGGGGGAGGAGACGTGGGAAGCCGCGGCTTGCAGCCCATCGTTCACTGTCCGTTCGAGCCCGTATTTTTTTAGGTGCCTTAAAAACAGACACTTGCGCTCGCCGTCCCTCAAAATGCACTTAGCCACTGGGCCACAGTCCAGATCGCAGCCTTTGCGGAAGCATGGGGCGTTTGTGGAGGCAGGGGGGAGGAAAAGTGGGAAGGAGGAAGGAGAAGGCTGAAACAGGAAGGCTCATGGCACTTGGTGCCAGGGATGGTAGAATAGTGTGCGTGCAATTGAGCCGCCGACTAGACTTTGAAGGGTATTTTTTAGAGACGCCAGTCTGCTGCGCAGGCAGGGCGACGCAGCCAGGCCCCAGTTGGGGCAGGGCGACTGCCCTGGGCACTGGCAGAAGGGGGGAATGTGGGAGAGAGGTGAGTTGAGAAACAGGGAGCGTGACAGGGGTGAGTGGGGAAGGTGAGACTGAGGCTGTGCAATGAAAAGCCAGGTTCCTGTTGGGTAAACCTGCCGCTCCCACTACATTCAGGAGGAAAGAGCACATGAGGAGGTGAAAGTGGGACAGTGGGAGGGATCGGATGAGGATGGGCCAGGGTGCGGAAATTTTGGATCAAAAAAACACACACAATGAGTACCGTCTCACTGTGACAATGAATGAGAATCATCATGGACAGAGCTGAACGAGTTGATGTAGAAATTCGTCTTGATTTGACATCGAATTTGTTATGCTGCCAAATCCCACTCATGCTCTGGCAATTGGTGCTCTGGCTACTGCCTGAAGTAAAGAAGGGAGAGAGACAAGTGCAGCAAGAGAGTGGAAGGGAGGGGAAGCACGAGAATGGGAGAGAGGCGGAGACAAGGGGATGGGCACGAAGGTTGTAAGGTAGGCAAGGCGATGCTGCCAGGTCCCAGCTTGATAAACTTGCCACTCATGATACAGCCTGAGAGAGAGGAGCAGATAGTAACCGGGCAAGAAGATACGGGGAGGGTGTAAGAAGGTATTGAGCATGCAGAAGGAGTGAGCATCCACTCCACCCCACTCCACTCAACCCCACTCCACTCCCCTCCACTCCACTCCATCAGAGGCAAGCCTCACCTCACCAGCTCCAAAGGCTATCTGGAGGCCAAAGTGGGAGGTATTCGAAGGCATTCGAGCTTTTCTCCACTCGCTTCCCCTCCCCTCCCTTCCCCTCCCATCCCCTCCCCTCCCCTCCCCTCCCCTCCCCTCCCTTCCCCTCCCGTCCCGTCCACTCCCCTCCCCTCCCATTCCCTCCCCTCCCCTCTCATCCCCTCCCCTCCCATCCCCACCCCTCCCCTCCCCACCCCTGCCCTCCCATCCCCTCCCCTCCACTCCCCTCCCCTCCCCTCCATTCCACCACACTCCACTCCCCTCCACTCCGCTCCATCCGATGCAAGCCTCACCTCATCGCCCACATCCCACAGAGCTTCTTGAAGGCCCAAATGGGAAGTGGGGTCATTCCGGCTTCCCTAATTAAGCCTTGCTTGCAGTGCAAGCAAGGCTTAACATCCCCTGCCAGTGCAGGCCTTGACTTGAGCACTCACCCCCACAGCCCACTCACCCCCACAGCCCACTCATTAGCACCCCAATTGCATTGTGGTGGTCTGAACTGAGTCTAAGAGGTCAACATATAAAAACCAAAATTCCAGAATTCAAAATCCAAAATCCATAAAAAATAAAATCCAAACTCCAGAATAAAAAATCCACAATTCAGAATCAAAAATAAAAAAAATCAAATATCCATTACAAAAAAAATCCAATATCCAGAATTCAAAATCCAAAATCCAAACTCCAAATTTCAAATTCAAAATCCAATCCAAAATCCTGAGGTCTACATACCCTGCCTCACACTCCACTCCACTCCACTCCATCAGGGGCAAGCCTCACCCCATCAGCTCCACAGAGCTGCTTGAAGGCCCAAGCGGGAGATATTTGGGAGCATTCAAGCTTCCTTGAACAAGCAGTGCCGGGCAGGGTTACGGTTCAGCCTCATGTCACCCGCACAACCCACTCCACTCACCCCACTCACCCCACTCACCCCACTCACTCCACTCACCCCACTCACCCCACTCACCCCACTCACCCCACTCACCCCACTCACCCCACTCACCCCACTCACCCCACTCACCCCATTCACCCCACTCACCCCACTCACCCCACTCACCCCATTCACCCCACTCATCCACTCATCCACTCACCCCTCTCACCCCACTCACCCACTCACCTGCACACCCCACTCACCCCACTCACTCCTCTCATCCCACTCACCCCACTCATTCCACTCACCCGCTCACCCTACTCACCCAACTCACCCCACCCCACCCTACTCACCTGCACACCCCACTCACCCCACTCACCCCACCCACCCCACTCGCCCGCACACCCAACTCACCCCACTCACCCGCATGCACCACTAACCCCAATCAACCCCAAGGAGGCCTTGGGCAGGCGGGCAGGTGGGGCGACACTCAACCCACTCACCTGCACAGCCTCCCTAGTCACCCTTCTCACCTGCACGGAGGCCTTGGGCAGGCGGGCAAGGGGAGACACGAGAAGGCAGCACGTCCAAGCAAGAGATGCAGCAAGTGAGGAGCATGCCTTACCTGATGTGGGTTGTGCGCCCACCCACTCACCCCTTTTACCCACTCACCCTACTCATCCACACACACACCCCGCTCAACCCACTCAACCCACTCACCTGCACACCCCTCTCATCCCACTCACCCACTCACCTGCACACCCACTCACCCCAGGAGAGCTCATTTGTATGGGTGCCGTTCAAGAAAGTGACTGAAACGGAAGGAACAGGAATGGGGGGCGGGAGGAGGAACGGGCAAGAGTTTGGTTATAGGGTTTTGGTATGTTTGGTGGGGTATGAACAGAAGCCAGCAGGCCCAAATGGGAGGGGTTTGATGGGTTGTCATGTCATCAACATTGGTGCCGTTGACGAGAGTGACTGGTATGAATGGATTCAGAGGGATTTGGAGGGATACAAAGGGGTCAGGAAAATTGAGTTGATCTGGTCTGTAGAGATTGTCTTGCTTGGGCTGATAGAGGCCCAACTGCACTAATTGGTGTGATAGGTCATCAGCATTTGTATCGTGGATTGACATGAGCAGGGGCAGGGATGTGGGAAAGGGGGAAACACAACTCCATCTGGAGAAGACATGAAGGACAAATGCAGAGGCAACTTTTATTGAGAATGACGAGAGCGACAAGGAGCAGCAGTGTGCTTCCTACCAGCTGATTGCTGAGGCAACCGGACACTACATAATTGTTAGTGTTTCGCCATACACTCCAGTAACACACCTCCATCTGTTGCAGCCATTCCTCTCCTCCTGTTCTCATCAAATTGATGCTCTGCGTCTGCTGTGATTCATTATTCTAAGCAAGAAAAGAACTGCTGAAGGGGCTGCAACAGAACGACACCACCTTGGATCATGTGACATGTAGGTGCCTCTGATCTGAAAATACTACAATATTCTTATTACAGCTTACGAAATCACTCTACATAGGACCTGTATCATATACAAGAAACAACAAAAGCTACCCAACAAAAAGAATTGCTACATCAACCAATGGACACTACATTGCTGCCGTGCTAGTATTTAATAAAGGTCAGCCCATGCATGTCCCGGAGGCCACAGCGCAGTGCACGAGACATGCCATCAATCGCTTGCTTGCACCCTTTCACATTCAAGTGTTGCAGCACCTTCAGCTCCGTCAAATCATCTGGCAAGGCCTTCAAACGCTCACAGCCAAACAGGCTGAGCCACCTCAGCCCAGTCAGCTGCGCAAACCCAGGGGGAAGGGAGCTGATGGAAGTTCTCTCAACTTTAAGCGTGCAGAGGCAGCAAAGCTGTGTGAACGAAGATGGCAGTAGCTGCAAGGCCTTGCATCCTGACAGATCCAGCTCCCGCAACCTGGATAATGCACAGATGCTATCGGGGGCAGACGTCAGCTTGGGTGCAACAACCTCTAACGCTGTCAGGTGTTGGAGCTGTGAGAAAGTTTCTGGTAGCTCCCTAAGCTCTTCGAGGTCGTGTAATCGCAAATCGCGCAGCTGCTGCAAAGCCGAACCGATGCTTTGTGGGAGGGTCTGAATCAACTCAGCATCAGAGATACTCAAGAGGTGGAGCTGAGAAACAGACTCGAGCGAGATTGGAAACTCATGAACGTTGTTTGCCAACCCCAGCTCCAACTGCTCCAGACAAGGCGGGAGGGAAATCTGAGGCAGTAAATCAGCCTGACTGTTTCTGTACCAAGACAGAATCTCAAGGGAGAGTGGCAGCGACGCGGGAAACCCAGACAGATGTCTGCACCTTGTTACCTTCAAACACTTCAGCTCCACGAGGCTAGTTAGCAGTCTTGGCAGCAAAGTGAGCTGTTGGCAATCCTCAATAACCAAGGTTACAAGGTTAGTGAGCTCTGTAATGGAATCCGGTATCTCCCTGAGCGCATCACACTCATGAATGTTGAGATGCTGCAGGCTACTCAAATCGTTCAGACCCTCGGGAAGCACCGTAAATGCGCACTTGCCAAGCTCAAGACTCTTTAAAACAATCAGCTGCGCAAATGAAGGGAAGAGCAGCTGCTTCGTGGCTTGATGCAGATGAAGAGTCTCGAGGTTACTAAGCCATCCAATCCTCTCTGGGAGCACCATCAAACTGTTTCTTAAGTCGAGTGTCTTGAGAGATGTGAGGCTGCAAAAATCTGTTGGAAGATGGTGCATCCACCAGCAGTCAAGCAGGAACAGCTTCTCCAAAGATGTAACTTGGCAGAGGGAGTCAGGCAACTCATGGATGCACACTCTCTCCAACATCAATGACTTGAGCGCAGGAAGCTGTCCAAAGTCCTCGGGAAGGCTGAAAGGCCAGCCGCATTTACCAATAGACAAGCACTCCAATCCCGTTAAGGCTGTAATATTATCGGGAAGTCGGTGGAGCTGAGAACAATCCCGAATAGTCAGCTGACGGAGACACGGCAAAATCTCTTCGATGTCATCCGGAAGGCGCTGGAGCTTGGAGTTGGTGATCACCAGCTGTTCCAGGCGATTGCATGGTGATCCTGTGGGAAACATTGAAGTGAAGCTGAGATTGGAAATCTGGAACTCAAATGACTTGAGACAAGGTAGCTGAGCTACTGGGAAGATTGCAGCTGGTGGATCATTCTTGGGAAGGCAGGTTTCACTGAAAATTGAGAGTCGGGAGAGTCTTGCAATGCGAGCGAGGCTTGACAACAGCTCTTGTGTCAAGTTAAAAACGGTAACATGGAGGGATGTAAGCGACGAAAGTCTTGCAAATCTCGAAAATCTGGACGCTGAAACGTTGGTGAGAAAAACTGTGTGGAGATGCTGCAGCTGGAAGAACGAATCTGGTAACTCGGTGTCTTTATGGAGGCAGTAAAGCGTAATCTCCTCCAGCTGAGTGCAGTTCAAAAAGAGATTCTCCAGACCGGCTTCAGTAACCGGGTGCTCATCCTTGCTTCCTCCACATTCCGTCGGTGTGATCTTGCGACCCACGTGAAGAGCCTTCAGCTTAGGCCGTGAGGAAGCAAGGCGAGCGAGGAAAGCGTTGTCAATCATGTCGACACTCCCGTCGCTAAGGTGAAGATTCGTGAGGTTGTCAAATCAAGCCACGGCGTTCGCCAGATCTTGATGAGATACAACACGGTTCTCCTGGACTGACATGCTGGTGACCACATACTTCCTTAGGACTTGTGAAGCTGGGCATGGTGGCTGATGTGTTTCCCTATTCTCGAGATCGTTCATGGCTAGACCTTAACTGCCTTAACCTTTGAGACTGTATACGGACGCAAACGAGAGCATTCTTGGCTTGATGGGATCCCCTTCAGTGAGCCCAAGCTGGGCTCTAGGTGACTGGATTACACGCTGGACGCAAATTCACTTGACAAGGCTTGGGCTACGGGAATCTCACTCTGAATCCGGGGAACCCCCACATATAGCCTTGAAAGTACAAGGTTTGGTTAGACGTACCCTTTTCATGATTCGGACAGTTTCGAGATTTAGCCCTTCAAGCGAGGGTGGTGACTTTGTTCTCTCAAGCCTCGATTTAAGCACAACACCTCGCTTCGACTAGGTAGCTCCCTGAGCGCTCGAGGCGAAATCCTTGTAACTTGAAACACTACCTAACCGTTCTGGATTCTTGATGAACCAGCCGCGACCACGCAAAACATCTCATCAGACCACAACAAGGAACCACAATAATTTACTGCTTCAGTCCCTCCTTGTCAGAAGCTGGCTAACCGTTCAAACAGCCGTTTATGCGGCGATGCTCGAACCATAAGGCCAAGTGAATCGCAGATTTCGCAGGCTTTTGCATTACTTGAATAATTGGGAAGTCACGACTACTCTTCCGTCTAGGTCGCATTTACCCCTGCTACTTCACGACTACCAGTCGTCAGGTCACAGGCACTTAACAGTCCTCTGTAAACTGACGGGCTGCGTGATCGGCTTCTTATCCAGCTCTCCTCGTGTGCTCGCTTCACATTCGAGTACCGTCACGGCATTGTGCATACACAATTCGACATTCCTTATATGGTCGTGCCTAGTTAGAATCCCTTGTCGTATCGTCTGAGAATTCTGAAAACTAGAAAATCCGACATCTCGGGTATGGTCGTGCCTGATTAGGATCCCTCGGCGTACCCGCGTCGAGTAATGGAAGATGGACGTATGATTAGCTGAGGTAGCCTTTCTCAGAGTAGGTTAAGAGCTTCATAATTGATTTAGAATAGAGCGGGAGAGCAGATTAAACGCTTTAACACCACTTAGGCTAGGGATCCAGCAAACAACCGTATCAGACAGCAGCATTAGCCGGAATCCCTTCAAGGCTGCTTCTTGATTCGAACCAGGAGGCAGCTAGTCGGTTTGCGGGAAGCAGTCCGGTGCAGTCCGGTGCAGTCCGGTGCAGCATGGCCAACGCTCTGGAGGATATCGAGAAAACCCTCGAGCCGAGTAGCTCGGCGCGCTGCTGGTTCACTGCGCTGTTCTGCCGCTGGCTCGGCGCTTCAACAACCTGCTGCCCCTTCATCAGAAAAATGTCGTTCTGCTGAAAACCGGGGGACGAGTACTTAGCTTTTTTTTTGGGTTGTCGAGCGCCCTGTAATTGGCCGTTTACTGTGAGGGAAGGGTTGTGACTTAGGACGCGGGGGTAAACTGGCGGTTTTTGTCTGTTGTGGGTGATTTCCGTGATTGTCTGGGATCGCGAATTTCAGGGGAAATGGGCAGGTTTGAGGCTGGAAGAACTTGGCAGTTTACTGGCAGGAACCTGACGTTGCCTGACGGGGCGGCTCGCTCGGGTAGAGAGCTGCGGAATGCTGCGGAATGCTGTGGATAACTGTGAAGGTCTTCCCGTGGTCACGATTTTCGTTTGCCACGTCATCTCATGGCGCGTGATTTTAGATTCGCGATATGATTCGAATCGACTGTTAGAACTGAAACTGTTGAATACATATTTACTTCTGTTTAGATTCGTAAATGTATGTGAAAGTATTGTTGCTAATCCCTTCAAACACTCACAATCACCCTACTATTTGCTAGGGTAGTATCAAATAATTATCGTATGCATGTTACCTCTGAATATACATCGCAACGTTCGATGGCCCGAAACTGATGAAGGATGGGCCAGTACGCAACATGTCACCGTTCCGTCGCTTGGTTTATTTTTTTAGCACCATTTCTTCACACATTCAGGTAGTTCAATCAATTACCTTGCCATAGGAACTGGTTTGAGTTAATTCGCACAACTACGCAGCACGTGACGCTTGTTTGTGCGT